CATTACTACCTTAAGATAAGTAGTTCTGCAGCCTTCTACAAAAAGATTCTGTTAAAAAGCTCTACAGATTGTGCTGACAAAAGTTAAGCACTGACTCAAAACAGACCAAAAATTTTAAAAACCAATACCATCGACCACTGTCAAAACTAGTATTGATACATTTTCATTTCAACAGTAAAGGAAATATGCAGCATGTGTGACTTTTGCTTTAGCATTACTATCCTAATCTTTCTTCTAAGCAAACAAAATCTTTCTTCTAAACAAATAAACAAAAGGAAATATTTTACACAGATGCCAAAACTATACTCACTTTCTTCTCATGGGACAATCTTTCATAAAATGGCCAATTTTACCACAGATTCTGCAGCATCTATCATTTGGTGCCAATTCTCCTTCTGTTAGTACCTCTGGATCAAAAAAGTACTCCTGAAGAAGAATCATGCATTTAAAATGAAAATCCATACACTTGGGAATCAAGACAGTTAAGCAAGTGTTAACAGTGGTTAAGAGTCACAGAGAAGAATAATCCCTGTGTGTGTAGCTGAATTCCCAGAACAGCTGATGAGATTAACTGGCCACTTGCATCTTCTTTACAGGCAGTCTGCTGACCACCAGTCTGCAAGCTCTTTTTTAAAACTGCAGTTTTAAGAAATGGTAAGCTGCTTTTGATAGGTACTAAAATATGCAAGCCTGTACAATGAAGCTCTGACTTCATAAAGATTGTTAGGGTACTGTTGAAATTTAAGAATGAAGAGCTTAAAAAGAGTATAATCATATTCCTGCAACTGGTAAGTTTTATAATACATCCAAGAGCATGCACATATTGCTTTTAGAAAGCAACTTACCATTTTTGATGAATATTCTTTAGGAAATATTTTTACAGGGCTACCAAATACCCTTCTGCCATTGATAAAAGCCTTCATTATAAAATTTGTCACTGGGGAAGGAAAAAAAAAAAAAGAAAACAACATCCAAACATCAAACAAGCCAGTACAGAATCCAAGACAAGATGTTCACTTTGTACTCAAACTCATTAACAGGAGACTTACTTTTTCTTGACAATCCAGCTCCAAGATTGTGGTTCAAATCAAAGGGGTCTGTACAAAAAACATTACAGCCATTACTCAAGGCCAAGATCAGCAATGTATACATACACATGAACAGTCTAAAGTAGCCATTTCTGATGCAGAATTAATATACAGAAATTGAATTGTTTACAAATTTATTGAAAAGAAGTTAACTCCATGGACACAGGATCATAGACATCCAGCTCTGAACTGACTCAAGTACTGTAAGAGTAAGATGAGTGTGTGGGCCAAAGAATAGAAATTCTTTCCATGAAAGTCACATGGGCCAGCAAGTGGATTAGGGAACATTTCTAAAACGTGTCTCGGCATTTTCTTGATAGAGACCATGGTATTACTTAACAGTGTAATCATACACAGGGTTAAATTGGTCATGTGTATATGGACTCAGCTAAACTTAGTATTTGTGGGAAAACCTCAATTGCATTACAACTAATGTATTTTCCACAGGATTTGGTTAAATCTATTTTTCTGTCAGTTACTGTCGTCATGAAAAGGATGAAATCTGCGTTGCAGCTTCTTTACTGTAGGGGGGGAATAAAACCCTAAGAATAATTTTTAGCACTACTGAGACTGAATGGGAATTTTGTGATGATTTCAAAATATGATCAAATAATGTTTTATCTAGTAACAGAAAAATAAATAAGCCTTGTGGAAAGACCAGATTTTTCATGTAGGCATTAAAGAAATTCCACATATTCATGGACTTGACGTGCTTTTACCTTCAATTACAATGTATTTTGAGGTCCACTGCTTCTTAAAAGTTGTAAGCAGACTTTTTCTCCTAATGCAGATGACATGCTCTTTAAAATCAAATTCTTCGGTGTAGAAACGAAGAAGTCCCAGCCACAGTTGCCCAACAGATTCAGTGTTTTTGCCACAGTCTGGCCAGACATCCGACTAAAAGTCATATAAATATTTTTACTCTCAGTACTTGCATTAAGCAGAGTAATTTTCCTAACTTGGAAACTCAAACATCTTATTTTACAGAAACACCAGAATACTCACCTTCCTTTCAGAACTGTTATTAACAATCCAAGATCGATTATAAAGTATTTTTTAAAATATTAACAACAAAAGTGGAGAATTAATAAAAATTATAACATTAAGTTTTGCCTGTTATAAAAAGGAACGTATTAATTAACTTTATGTGCCTATTTAATACAAAATTATTTGACACGATTAACCAGCTCTGACTAGATAAGCAACTAGTATTTGTAGGAGTTATCTCCACCCAGTAACATGACATACAGAGCAACTGATCATCACTAACACCTTCAACAATTTTTTAAATCTATTTTTTCACATTTTGCAGATTTTTTTGTTGCACAGAAATTACAACCAACAATATTCTTAAATCTTTACAGCATGGGATTTTCACAGCAATAGCTACTCCATTTCCATTTCTATATTCAACCATCATATTTGTGGACAACATTTCTTGAAAGCAATTCTTTTTCATTTGCAAAGCTACAAGTAACACCATTTCAAATGAAACTTTCTGATTTACTCACCAACTCCTCTATCTTATCAAAGAAATAAACGTTCCAGCCATCAACTAAAACTTCAGGTTTTTTTGGTTCTTTGTAGATCTGAAAACATAATATCAAACTCGTTAGAAAAGCTTTTTTGATTCAGCACTGACATTCTGGTGAATACTGTGTACAGACACTAATACAGATACAGGGATTTTTCTTGGTATACTGTACCTCTTGAAGAACAGGGATGACGGGTGGGTTTCTCTGTTGAAGAAAATAAAGCACCATAAGAGTATACGCATAAGAAGACAGGCTACCCCGAGATGCATCTCCAATGTCACATATCTAGAAAAAGAAACACAATTTATATCTTTTATGGTCTCATCTCTTGCTGCTGGCACCCCTGCCTCTAGAATGTCTGAAATACACTCACCTTCGTAAAGACTTTCATTGTGTAACACAGGTATTTTACTCTAGGATCAATGGCTGCGTATGATGCCAGGAGTCTTGTGTTATGCAAGGCCTATAAAAATAAAGACATCATATAGAAAATAGAGGAGCTCTGAAGAAATGAAGGAATAAGCTGAAAACACAAAAACCACCTTGTGTGCTCAAGAAATGCAGATGTGAAGCCTATACAGTAGAAGGTGTATTGAGAAAGGAAGCATTCATCAAGGAGGTTATCATCTGCTCTGTTAAAAAGGTGACCAACACCCTTAACCTGCACAGAAGTGGTACAAATCAGCATTCACAGAACAGTACTTTAGAAAGTGAAGCATTAATCTACTACTGCATTTTCAGGATATTTGGTAGAAGGTAAGTTCTTGAAATAAGAAATAGGAGCCCAAAAATGGGAGAGCTATCAAGTGACCCAAAAGGATGCATAACATCAAGAACAAAACTTTCAGACTTACTTAGTGGCTGAGGTTTCTTTCACAAGACACACTTTGAGCTCATAGGCAAACTTCAGAAAGTTTAATACTGGCTCTAAAACCCGCTTTCCTTTGAAGTTTGAAGGAACTGGTTTCTGACATTCAGAGACATTGAAAAAACCCAAAACTTGTTTTTAAAATATGTGGCCAAAAACCTATGTGGTTTTTTGTAGATTCTAACACACGTTCTAGTTCAGGCAAGCTGAGTTCAAAAATCACTATTCCAGGTCTCAAGGCTAAGCAAGAACCACAACAGGGAGTGGTGTGTAGAAAAGCTGAAGTTTTATTATTTCGTGTCTCATTTACAGAAAGACTTAAATGCCTAATCCACTATTTCTAAATATTACCAAAGAACTAAAATATTTTCTTAAAGAAGTGACAATTCAAGTTGAAATTATGCAACTGACTTCAGTTATAGTCAAATAAAAAAAACTTGTTTGGAAATCTAAAATTGCAATAGGTAACTGGAAATGGTTGATTACTGAACCTCAACAAAAAAATCACTTCAATCTCAAGAAGCAGACTCACATTTTTCTGTTTTAAAAAACCAAACATATAAACTTACCAGAGTGTTATATAAACTGATGTCTACTTCAAGACCACTTCTGACATGGAAAAATTTGACAATTGGGACTTTAGCAGTTGTTATAGGCAAGACATTTCTTAAACCTAGGGCGAGATGTTTAATTACTGAGTGACTATAATACAGTCACAATAGTATCAAATGCTCTACAAATAACTCCAAACTGTAAAAAAAGCTACAAAATAAAATCATAGTTAATACCAAAACAGTATTTCAGTTATATTTTAATATTGATTTTAGGCATTTGTCAAACATGATGAATCTCCTAAATATAATATATACATTATATATAAAATAAACATTTAACTCCCCCAATAAAAGAAAGATCAGTCTAAATGTTACAGAAAAATAAGCTTAATAGATCATTGACAGTCCAATCCAGTTACACCATAACCTGCACTATAAAATTATAGCTTCTTCTAGAAAACGCAGAATTCCCATTGTGAACTTCTATCAGCATACCTTTTACTAACTTATTAGGCACTAAACGTACAAATACATCATAACTGCTAACTTGAAGCCTCAAGCTTTAACTTAAGGCTTGCTCTTATATATGTAGGTTATATACTATAGATACTGTACGATATGTAGATATATGTAGGTTATATACTATATATAAATATACTATCTGTCCAATTCAGATGTGGTCCTGTAACAGTATAACCTCATAGACCTATCTGTGCAAACAAAAATAAATCCAAATATTCACAACATATAACCTCACTCTTACTACCATTAAGTTCTTCAATACAGTTTATTTATATTATTATTTAGATTTTAATCTAGAGTGCCCCAGAACTTCACTGACAAGTGAAGTCCGGTAAACAAGAACCACTTATTTTAATTTTCAAGAAAGTTACCTTGCTGTTTCTTGAGAACTTTTGCTAAATCTTCAATGATTCTGATGCAATCGAGTCCCTAAAACATTAAGAAAAAATGTTGAAAGCTGTACCTGTGTCCTGGTTTGAGCTAAAAAGAACTAATTTTCTGTTAGTGATTTTACTTTTCAGCTCAGCATCTTCTAAGTGGCTGTACTTGCTGAAACTAACAGCATGTTTTTCCAACAGTGTGTACTTCTACAAGTGATAATGACAAGGCCACTGTCTCACCATGGGTGCTGTATTTGCATCTATGGGAGGTGTGGACCCGAAACTGACCAATGAGGTATTCCATCCCACATACGTCATACTCAGTATAAAGGTGAGGGATCATGAGGGTCTCAACCCTTCCATCTTCGATCCTTGCCTTCCGTCTCAACGCTCCCTTCCTTCTTGATCCTGCCCTCTGCTCTTCTGATACCGCAATGGCCAAAGTCCAAGCAGAACCCTGCTAGCTTGTCTACCTCCAATCCTGACCCACGTGTTCCTGCATCCTGTTTCCACCTGCTGCTGGGTCCCGTCTGGGACTTTTCCAGTGCCCAGTTCCGCAGAGCCTCTGGTGACGTAATCATCACTGGGGAGCGTTGAGGGGAGGATTTTATATTGCTTTTAAATATGTATATTTGTACATATTTGCATATATTCCATTATTTTCCTATTTACATTATTATCCTGTAGTATTAGTATTATTGTTTTATTAAATCTGTTAGATTTATTTTCCAACCCGTAAAGTCTCTCTCCCTTATTCTCTTTCTCTTTCCTTCTGGGGAGCAGAGAGGAGTTAATAGAGAGCATCTGTCCAGCACTTAGTTGCCAGCCCAGCCCTAAACCATGACAATCTGCTGCAAGTATTGTAGGCAATCCTTTTATTACTTGCCATTAAGCTTAAAGCTTTATAATTGTGAGTTTCATATTATACAGATTCATGCAGTATCAGAAATTGTTTCGAAATACCACTAGTAAAATCAACACTAGACAAAAGTTTGTATTAGGCATGAAAGGAGATTGATGTAATTTTCTATGGTCTCCCATTCTATTTGTTTATGCTACATAGCACGTCATTTATCTAGACAGCTAATGCTAGAGATAGCAGTAGTGCAGAATTCAGAAGAAAACTGGCTACTGAGAATTGCTCTTGAACGCATGCCTAAACCAACAGCCAAACCTCCTAAAATAATCTGCCTTTGTGGCACCTATGTGTTTTCTTCTAATCTGAAAAGCTTTCATAAAATAATAAATTTTTTACACAAAGAAACTGTGTTATTGATACACAATATAGCTATAAAATTTTGTATTTATTAAAAAAGAAAAAAAAGCTTTTCAAACTACCTCAGCAGTTTCCAGCCCATCCATCGTCATGCAGATATCAAGGTCACTTTGTTTGAAGCCAAAGCCATTTTTTGAGGAGCCAAACAAATTCAGCTTTGTTCCTGCAAGAGATGTCATGGGTTACAACCATGTATCAACACAGAATCTCACATTGTATATAACTTCAAACCACTGCATATCTTTTAATACAGACATGAAAACGTTACTATCTTTCTATAGTACATCAAAACTTACTTTCTTATCACTTTGTCGATGATCAAAGAATCTCTTACTTATATTAGCGCAAATGAGCAGCCTGACAGGTCCAGAAACAAGTTTGGTTTTCCAATAACTAAATCATCACCATGAGGGTCTGAGCTGAAATCTGATAAAATATGTAAGACTGCTCTCTACAGAGATTTTCAGGATAAGGGACGTATCTGTTCACACACCAGGCTTGACCTAAAAATATCCTTTGCTAATTTTACAAGACTGTGAACTGAAGTCCAGGTGCTCCAGGTAAGAACTCCACAAACAAACAAAAAATAGCTAAGTTCTGTGGATAGGTCAGATGTTGTCCCTGTACTGTAAAATATTCCAAAACCAGTAAGTTTCAGTTGGAAGCGTGTTGTTTGTAAGAGCAGATACAACAAGAAGTCTGGCTAGTGAATAAGGCTAAAATAATTCACTATTGCTTCGATTGTTTTATCCTTAACTTGCCATTTTTCCTTCCTACTAATGTGTTGTACATATGACTAAGTAAAAAAAAAAGTCTTCTAAGACTTTGGTTTAAACAGAAATTAATGTAATGAAGTATAGCAATACTGAGCAACAATATAGGTTAAATGTTCAAAACTAAAGTGTTTCTTGGAGAACACTCATATGAGCACACCAAGTAAAAATGCAAAGCTAGAACTGCGTAATTACCTGGGAAATCCTGCCTAATGAAGTTCTCCAAGTTTTGTCTTATAAGTTCCCGAGCCTGATCCTCTACAATATTTGGAGCAAAATCATCTTTAAAAAAAAAAAGAGACAACAATTCAGGTAAACTGATCTGTAGAATGAGTCAACAGCAAAGATTCAAATGAAAGGAGTGAGGGTTTTACAGTGGAGGGGGAGAGAAATAGCAAGAGAAGATTCACATGTGAAGGAAAGAAAGCAAGGATGAAGTAGAAGAGAAATACCTGTTCAAATAAAAACATTAATTAGACAAATAATGCATTTTGTCTGGTCAGAAATGGAGAAAGGAGGAAAGTTGTGTCACTCTGAAAAGAACAAAAGTGGAGAAGTGTTACAAAACAGTATTTTGACTTCAAGTTTTCTAGAATACTGAAGTCTTTGTTTACTAAAACCCACAAGTTAAGGAACAGTAACAAAACTCAAGGTAGACAGAAAAGTTGACTGCACAACAATATTCAAAGGAAAAAACTTACAGTAACATTGGACACAAACTTGATCTAGAATAACTGAAAATTTGGGTGTCAGCGCTGGCAGTGGGTCAAGCTCAATTTTCTTGAAGTCTTCTGGACAATCCCTCTTTAAATGACCTTCCCGTTTGCACAAGCTACACACTATTGTAGGAGACTGCATGGACAGAAAGCAAGATTGGTTTTAAAAACTATAATGGTTTAATGAATTTGAGCAACACTTTCATGTAACTAGTAACAGAACACGAGCAACATGTTATGTTGTAAAACAGCTTGCTTACCTTGCCCTTTGTAAAAGCTGGTTTACTGAATTCATAAAAGAGTTCAGATTCTAAACACTGTTTTGCTGCTGTGCTGGTCTCTTCAAGAAGGCTTCCTTTCTCAGTAAGATTCTCTTGACTCATACTGACCCTCAGAGGTCCATCTACATCTTCTTCAAAATGTTTGTCCTCATATTTATTTGGGATGGGAAAATCTTCTTCCTCTGATGGTGCATCATCATCTCCAGATCCAGTGCATGTGTTATCTAGTTCATCTCCTGCTCTTATGATAACACCACACTCACTCTGGTTTAGAAGACTTGGTTCTTCCTCCTCTTCCTCCTCATCATCCGAGTTAATAATTGGGGATATCTGACTCTGTGCAGAATGTATGAATTTTTTGGGAGACTCATCCAGTTCATCAGTACCTTCAGTGCTCTCCTCATCGATGTCCCTGGGGTCATCCATTATACCACTGCAGTCTAAGCCAAACTCATCACTCTCTGTAAGTGCAGCATTTTGGAAACCTTCCAAGTCTGAAGTACTACATGTCTCTATATCATGGTCATTCACTGTAACAGCGAGATCTCCACTATCACTGTCTTCATCTATTCCCTGCTTGGTAGTCAAGATATCATTCCATCTTCTTTTTTGTTGCTCATGTTCTTCCTCTTCCTCCTCTTCTTCTTCATTTCCACTCTCTGTCTCTTCACAACTTGGTTTAAAATCTTCATTATCTCCAGAAATGACTTCCTCAATTATGCAGTCTGAATCTTCATGGGCAATTCCCAAATGACTTATTTCATCAGCCAGTTCTTCTTCTGTGAAGCTTTCTGAGCCATCACACCGTTTTGAAGGATCAGTTCTATGTTCCTGGGGTGTACCTGTAGTCTCCGTTATGTGATCTTCCACTACAGCTGTGTTTGTTCTACCCTCCAAGTTTTGCAACTCAGAATTTTCATGCTTTATAGCATCTTTTCCATGATCCAGTATTTGGGATTTCTTCTCATTGTCATCTGGAGAAGATTTTCTGCTCATTTTTGCATTTTTTTTGTGAGGCAAGGCAAAATACTTGTAAGATGCTCTCAGGCAGTGAAGAATATACTCATACACTAGCTGGCTGTTTACAGTTCTTGCAACATTCCTTTTGACTGAATATGGGTCTAGTAGAAAGAAGAAGTGAGCCAGAAGTGCAGGAGTTAACTTTTTATCAAAATGAATACACTTATATGCTTACAAAACTTGAATATGCTGCTCTTAGTTACTCTAAAACATTGCATATGACATAAGATTTATGAATTGTGCTGAACACAATTTTTAAGTCCACACAATTAATTAATTACTTGATTTTATAACATTGAAAAAATATCCAAGATAAATATGACTTAATTTTTCCAAAACATATTTTATTATATTATTGGGAATTATAGTCCAATATTTAAAAATTCTAAGTTACGACATACAATTCACTAGCCAAGACAGTATCCTAGAAAATTAAAGTAACAGTTCTTCAAAGTTTGTTGACACACATACCTTCCACAGCAATGCGCTTTTTAGGCCAGTCCTTTGATTCACGAGACACTGTCTCTTTGAGTCGTATGCTAATAACTAACTCTGCCATATTGAACTCCAAGGCATAGAAACGAAGCAGTTCCACCCAGAGCTGACCAGCAGGTGCTGAACACTGCTGTCCTGAACCAAATACTAAGGGAACCTGTCAATTATAGAAGAAAAGCTTAAATAGTATTTAATGCACAGGTGTTTAGCTGTTACACTTCCTTGTATTTAATCTGTAGTGTAATATTATTAAAAAATTTATAGTTGCTTCTGTATTCCTACAATTGCAATAAAAACTGCAATTAAAAAGTTGGAAGAGACAGTATAAACTTAAGACTGTAACTTCAAAACAAAGACTGCAGCAATGGTAGAGAATAGCATCAATGATTAGTAACAATTGCTTATTTAAGTGTTTATGCCACAATTTATAAGTTCCCAAGAAAATATCACATCTAATCTAATTGGACAGAATTCATTATATAGCCTATTTTTAGCAAAGCCTAAGCTGGCAAAGCCCAAGCTGTACTGTTAACTGTCATATCATGCAACCATACAGTGATACTCTTTCTTGCAGAGTTGCAATAAAAAAAATAACTTGTAAGCATAGTTCAAAGCTCAGAGGAAATATTTTTTTCATATACTTAACCTAATTTGGAGATAAAATTGGTTCAATTGTATAAACAATATTCTCCCCAATAGAGTCCTAAGGTCTGAAGGAGTCTGAAGTAACACCTAGCTTCGTCGCACCAAGAGGTAAGCATAGTATCAAGCAGTCACGCAATCCCTTAGTTCAATTTATAGTTTTGCAACATAAACAAAAACAGAAAATGGTTCTTTTTTGAGAACAGCAATGACTGCTAGACTACTATAAAAGTAAATTAAATGGTTCAGACCTTGTCCGTTCTAGGGGAAGTTTCTTGTGGCAAATCAGAATCATCAATGGGGTTATGCTCCCACACCACAGCATCATTCTCGACTTCTTTCAGATGAAAATTATTTAATTTGTTTAATGAGAATCCTTCAATCTAAAAGAAATAGAAAAAGAAACATACAACTAAACATCATGTGCTTGGTAGTACACAAAATTAAAACAGAACTAAGTTTAAAAATAGCTGTTCCAGGCCTAGAATATGCCCCAATTTGCTTATCTTTTCTCCCTTATTTCTCTACAAAAAGCTCTCAAGAGTTCAGTGTTTTTGGAAGGGTATCCATATGTCATCGTACCCAGCTCAAGCCAAATAGAACTAATCTTCTATTTAGTGATTTCATTTTTCAGTTAAGTCTTTTCTAAATGACTCTACTTGCTGAAACTAACAGTATGTTTTTTCAGGCAGTGTTCACTTCTACAAGTGATGATGCTTCTATGGTATGTAAATATAGCTCTTGCTTATAC